TGCTTAGCATCAAGCCTTATGACCTGAGTCCACTATCTGAGAATCACATGGTAGGAGAGAAATAACACCCTCAAGTTTTTCTGACCACACTCAAAATATACAGATAAATGTAATAGAAAAATTTTAAATAAGATTAATAATAACAACTGTTTCTCATGGAAGAGACAACTAATAATCCATAGATATCGGTGTTTCATGTACCTATTAGCAAATATATTTGGTCAGATGTGTAGCACTTGCTTGATTCAATATTCTCATAACCTGAGATTTCAGCATGCTAAATTCTTAAATAAACTTTGATTCCAAGTTAAACTGTTCAATTCTCTAGTGTCACCATTATAATACTCATATTTGTTATATCTGTTTCCCCATTACTAATAAGTAGGCATGGGTTCTAATTTAGTTTTATTCTCCTTACCCCCAGGTTTTGTTATATAGCCCAGGCCAGCTTGCTTATGACCCTCTTGCCCTAGCCTCTGAAGTGTTGGGATCACAGGATCCACCCCCACCTGCCCAGCTCCTAACTCATCCCCCACTTCCCCCTCCAATTTTCATGTATTTATTTAGTGGTGGTTGTCATAGTGGGCATGTGGAGATTAGAGGTCAGAGAAGTCAGTTTTGTCCTTCCACTGTGTTGAGTCATGGGTATCACACTCTGTTAGGCTTGACAGCAAGCACATTTACCTACTGAGATAGCTCAGTAGCAGCGATATTTCCTGAAGAATGAGTGTGGTACTGGGCTATTCTCTCAGTAAATATACATACAATAAAAAAACAAAACAAACAAACAAACAAAAAACAAGAAAAGTAACAACAAAGAACATGTAAAAACACATTAATTACTAGTCTTTAGAAACTTATAGTTTATGAAGGGCAAAAGAAATACACAAGTAATAAAAATTACACAGAAAATAAAACATAAGAAAAAAATCAAGGAGGAAACTAGGCATAGTGGCTCACACTTGTAACCTCAACACTCAGAAGATAAAGCAGAGAACACCTCAAGTTTGAGGCCCACCTGTATACACAGCAAGGCTGGGCAAAGATCCTTGCCATCAACCTGACACCTGAATTTGATGCCCAGGAGGACCTACACTGTAAAGAGATCTAACTCTCAAAAAGGGCTGTTACACAGAGAAATCCTAGCTGGGAAAAACAAAAGAAAAAAAGGAAGTCAGAGTAAGGTTTATACTACCTAATTTAGCTTCTAGTTTCTAGTGAATTTATGTTAAGTATGAAGACTATATATGATCACTTCCCAGATTCCAAAGAAAACATCATATTCCAGAGCCATTTCCAAATTGTTCGAGAGTAAGGTAAACAACTGTCCTGTGTTATAATTCTATCAAAATTGAGTTTAGGCATGTCATATAGCACACTGATTAAAGGCGCAGGAGACACATGCAAGCACACACGCAGATATAGTTCACTTACTTTTGCAGAACCACTAAATATATCCATAAATACATAAATAACCTACTCATGAAGACTCTAAAACAGAAATGAAACACACAGGTCTTGACACGGTTCTACTACTTATTGGCTACAGGATCTTGGACAAATTGTTGTTTGGAATGGGAATTCCCTGTCAAGTATGGCGGTGCACGCCTGTGAAGCAGGCACCAAGGGAGTGGAGACAGAAGACTCCCAGTTCAGGGCCACCATGGCTAACACAGCCATAGGAAACCTTACCTCAAAAATAAAAGAGTCAATTTTCAAATCTAAAAACTGGAAATTTTATTTCAGAGACATGAGACTACTATGTCACTTACAGGCTAGCTAGCCTGGCATACACAGAGGCAGAGTACCTCTGACCCTCACACACATGGGCCCCACACAAAACACACGCATCATCATCATCCATCAACATTTTTCTAAACATTAAACTAATCAATAAAAATGATCTCTAAAAAAGTATTTCACTTATGTTGGGCATTGTGCACACACCTTCACTCCCCGAACTTGGGAGGCAAAGGTGGATGGACCTCTTTCAGTTAGAGACCAGTATGGTCCTGGCGCAGCCAGGCCTACATAGTAGGACCCCACCTCTAAGAAAAAATAAATGAACAAACAAGTAAATATGATGTTTTCCCATTTAGTTAGCCATTGCAGTGGTTGTATGGCTGTAACTCTGGCATTTGGAGGTAGAGGTTTAAGGATCAGGAATTGAAGGTCTTCTTAAACTACACAACAAGCTTTGAGGCCAATCTGAGCTACATGAGACTCTGCTTCACACTTCACAGACAAAACTTTTATTTAATTATTCTTCCAAATTAATTTACCCTGATAATATATAAGCTACTTCAGTAACTAAGTCACTTCCTCCCTCTCCCATTGTGTATGTGTGTGCACAATCGGACACCAGAGTAAGTAAGCCCTGGTTGTTCCTCAGGAACCATCCACTTTGTTTGCAGACACAGGATCTGGGTCTCTCTTTAGCCTAAAGACTGCTGGCTTGTTTAGGCTGGCTGGTGAGCTGCCAGTTTCTGCCTCCCCAGATGGGGTTACAAGTGTGCTCCATCATGACTGGCTTTTTCCATGGGTTCTAGGGATCAAATGAGATCTTTACACTCTTATGATAAACACTTTACTGACTGAGCTATCTCCCCAGCTCCACATTATTTCCTTCATATCTAAAAATAGTAAGTAAAATTATATATATATATATATATATAATTTTTATGCCACAAATCCATTACTTTATGTAATGTCTTCACATATCCTATTTTCACATATCCTTTAATCTTCTTCTCTTTCTTTCTTTCTTATTTTTTTTTTTTTTTTCCTTTGTTGAGACAGAGTTTCTCTGTATAGCTAGCCTTGGCTGTCCTTGAAATCTATGAGATCCACCTGCCTCTGACTCCCAACTGCTGGGATTAAAAATGTGCATCACCACTGCTTGGCATATCCTTTCAATTTTGTTATTTTTTTGTAACATTTATCTGTGTGGGGGTACATGCAGGAGGCTAGCAGTGTCTGAATCTCCTGGAGCTGCAGTTACAAGCAGTTGTGAGCCACTTGATAGGAGTTCTGGGAACTCAAACCAGTCTTCTGTAAGAACAATATCTATCTATCTATCTATCTGCTGAGTCATCTCTCCAGCCCCTTATGTACTCTTTAAATATGATGATCTCTATAATCTTTTCTATTAGATTCTCTTTCTCTACAGTTCATACAGTTCACCACTCCTTTCCTTCTATTCTTCTCCAATCCCTTCTTTCTTAATTTTATTATTATTTTTTGCTTTTTTTTTCCCCCTTCCTGAGACAAGGTCTGACTATATAGCTCTGGCTGTCCTAGAACTTATAGTGATCCACATGCCTCTGTTTCCCAAGTCCTGGGATTATAAGCATGTGCCACTAGGCCAGATACTTCCTTTTGAAAATTTATATATTTTAAAGATTCTATATGTATGAGTGTTTTGCCTGAATATATGTATGTGTGCTACGTACATGGTTAGTGTCCACCAAAGTCAGAATAGGGTGCTGGATCCCTGGAAGTGGAGTAACAGATGGTCATTGGGTGCTGTGAACTAAGCCCTGGTCATCTGCATAGGCAACAAATGTCTCAACTGCTGAACTGTCACTCTAGCCTTCCTCTACCTTATTTTTAGCTCTAAATTTCCAGCCCTCTTGGGGTTGGAAAGATGGTTTAGTGATTAAAAGTGCATATTATTCTTCCAGAGGACTAGAGCCCATTATTCTGGCTCCAAGAAATCCAATACTCTCTTCTGGGAGCCCCACATGAAGCATATAGTCTTAAAGAAACATACATAAGAACAAAATTAAAGTAAATCTTTTAAATTTGTTTTAAGATTTGCTTATTTTATATGTGTCAATGTTTTGCCTGCATATGCATGTACACCACATTATGTGGTGTGCTTAGTGTATGAAGGTCAAAAGCATTAGATTCCTTGGAAGTGGAGTTACTGGTGGTTGAAACCACCATGTAGATGCTGGAAAGTGAATCTAGGTTCTCTGCAAGAGCAACAAGTGCTCTTAATCACTGAGCCACATTTCTTACCTCTAAAAATAAATATTTTCAAAAAGTTAGTTCAGGCGATGTGGCCCATGCCTTTAATCCCAGCATTTGGGAGGCAGAGGTGGGAGGATCTGTATGACTTGGAAGCCAGCCTGGTCTACACAACTATAGTTCCAGGACAGCTAGAGCTGTCTCTAAACAAGCAAACAAACAAAGAAAAATTAGTGATGGCACCTGGCTTTAATCCCAGCACTTGGGAGGCAAAGGCAGGAGGATCTGTGAGTTTGAGGTCAGCCTGCTCTACAGAGCTAGTTCTAGGACAGCCAAGGCTACACAGAAAAACACTGTCTCAAAGAAAACAAAACAAAAATTCACACATAAAACAACAACAAAAATAGACCTCTTACTCAATCAAGACTGAGTTCTAATTTTTATTATCTTTTTTATTTAATTTTTATAAATTAACTAAATTCTACTAAAAGATTAAAGATAGTTTACAACTATAATCTTAGCACTTAGAAGGCTATGGCAAAAAGACTACAAGTTCAAAGTCAGCCTGGTATATAGCAGGACTTTGCTTTAAAAAAGTTAAGGGTACCAGGCAGTGGTGATATATGACTTTAATCTCAGCGCTCGGGAGGCAGAGACAGGAAGACCTCTGTGAGTTCGAGGCCAACATGGTTTACAGAGTGAGTTCCAGGATAGGCTCTGAACTACAGAGAAACCCTGTCTGGAAAAGACAAAAAGTTAAAGGCTATCAGAACCTGAACCTTATTAAATGCAACTCAGAAATAACTAAGATTAGGCTTGTCTTTGACAAACATACTAAGACCTACTTAATCATCAGAGAGCAGAATCACTGCTTCCTAAACTCCATTAGCTCTGTGTAAATTAAGCTATGGAGACAATGTTGGTCTCAAACTACAGGCCTCACACTGGGAATCTTGACTCTAACTTCCAAGAGGCTTGGGTAACAAACACACCCGACACTAGGCATAAGCCTTCCTGACAATCCATACCTTGCTTTGTGATTCAGGAGCTATGTTTCCTGACCTCCCCCATTCCACTCCTATTTTCAGTATCAGCTTTTTTCTGAAAGGAAAAAGGGTATAAAGTAGATTTAAAGTCACACTTATACTTAAATGGCAGATACTCAGCTATGGGACTTTTCTGAAACTGTTTCAATTTATAAAATGAGTATATTTAACTTGGCCTGGTTGCTAATAACTATGACAGTACTAGGAAGACAGGGCAGAAGGATCATTACGTAGGCCAGCATGGTGAAACCTTATCTCAAAAGAAACAAATAAGCCAGATGTGATGATGCTCACCTGTGATTCCAGCAGCATTCAGAAGGCTGACCCAGAAGGATTAGGAGTTTAAGGCCAGCCCCAGCTATGTAAGACACTGTGTCTCAACTACCCCCTTCCCACCACACACACAAATACTAGTTATATATTTCATTAAACAGGACAATGAGAAACGTCTAGATCCTAGATTACTATCTGGCACATAATGCTTCCTTAATATTACTTCATTTTCCTAAATTTCACAGGAAAAAATTGAGACTACTTTTACAAATATGCCACTCAAAAAAACTGTTATCTGCCCCAAGAATTTGTAAAGAAAACTGATCAACAGAGCTGGGGACTGGACAATTGCTGGAGTGGTAGTCCAGCATACAAGCAGTCCCAGGTTCAATCCCTAGCACCTATAAAACTGGGTGTAGTGTTGAATACCCATAATCTCAGCACTCTGGATGTCGGAGGATCAGGAATTCAAGGTCATCCTTGGCTACATAATGAGTTTGAGGCCAGACCCTTATGAGTTCTTATCTCAATAAAGTGGAAGGAGAGGGCCGAAGACAAGGCTCAGATTAAGAGCCCTGACTATTCTTCCAGAGGACCTACGTTCAATTCCCAGCACCCACATGGCAGCTCATAACTGCCTGAAATTCCAGTTCCAGGGGATCTGATGCCTTCACAAAGCACACATGCAAGTAAAACACAAATTCACACGAAATAGAGCCAGGCATGGTGGCACACATCTTTAATCATAGCATCTGTCAGGAGGCAAATAGATCTCTTTTGAGTTTGAGACCAGCATGGCCTATAATGAGTTCCAGGACAGCCAGGGCTCTGTAGAGACAACCAGTATCAAGCACCCTCCATCCACCATGCACAACCAAAAGAAAAACGAAAATGGGAAGGAAGGAAAACAAACCAGAGCTGGGGAGATGGCTCAGTGGTTAAAAACAGTAGCCACGTAAGCCTGACAACCCGAACTCAACCTCCAGGACTCACATAAAAAGCCAGATATAGTAGTGACTACTATAACCCTACCATTCCTATTTCAAGATCTGAGGTGGAAATAGGAGAATAACCCAGAAACTCTTGGGCTGGCTAGCTTAGAATGTATAGCACATCAAGAGAAAAAGAGTAAAAAAGAAGAAATCTGACTTAAAAAGGAGGAAGCAAAGCATTAATTCCAGAAGGTTGTTCTCAATGTGCCTATATACACCCACACATATTAACTAAGAAAGAAAACTGACAAAGTTTAAGTTTTCCTTATGTAGTTAGTGAAACTGGGGCTGAACCTCAGTGGTAGTAGTAGAGTACTGTGCAACATATAAACAGGTAAAATGTGAGCACAGGAAAATAGTCCTTAGTACCTGTGGCAGTAATGCTAACCATCCAAGAGGATAAGGAAGGAGGATCATTTGAACCAAGGAGTTCAAGACCAGCCAGGGCAACACAGTAAGATCCAATTTCACTATTAATTAAAGTTTTAAAACCAGCTTGCATGAGGATCTGGATCCAGTCACCAGCAATGCCAAAAAAAAAAAAAAAAAAAAAAAAAAAAAAAATTAAAACTTTGTGTGTGCATGCACATCAGCACAAGTGTTTCTGCTTCAAAAGATGCACTAAAAGCAATTCAAAATCTCTTCAGAGTCTGCCTGCCTGTGCTCCCATGGCATGCAGAATGCCTCCGTTTAATACCTAAGCAGTGGATAATGCTCCCTTTGATGCACGTTTTCAGAAACCACGATATTCCAACACTTACCTTCCAGTGCTGCAACCAAAGGCATGCACCACCATTCCTGACTTAAAAACAGTAATTCTTGGGTTGATAAAGATAAAACAAGTCATGAAAGGTAGTACCCACCTATAATCCCAGTCAGTACTTTAGGAGGTCAAGGCAGGAAGACTACTACCCCAGGTTTTTCAGGTCAGTCTGAACTTACTACACAGTGAATTGTAGGACAGCCTTAACTATAAAGTGAGACATTAGAGAAGATTAAAACTTTAAGACAAAAGCAAAACTAAAACTCAGACAATTAAAGAACAGACACTAGAATCTAGTAGCACCTAACATATATAAGGCACATTAAAAATGCTATTAGACAGTCCTGGAAAACATAGTAAGATGAACATAACCCAGTTTTTGATATTTACAACAGACCTGAAATGAATTACCTCTAATTTAGTTAAAACATCTAAATATGGAGCTACAGATGGCTCAGTGGAAAAAGTGCTTGACACTAAGCCTGAGTTTGATCTGTGGGGTCCATATGGTGGAAGGAGAGCTGGGCCCTAACATACAGGCATTAGGGCACACAGTGCAATAGAAAATATAACTAACGAGTCTAGCAAGATGGCTATGTGGGTAAAGGTACCAAAGCCAAACAACCTGAGTCTGATCACCATGACCCACATGGTAGAGAGAACCAACTCCCAGAATGCATATGCACACTCCCCACAAATTATAAATAGATAAATTATGTTTTTAAATATTTAAGTTATCTAAAGATGGACCCAAGCAGGAGTAGCAATATGTACTTGTAATACCAGCACTCAGGAGGCAAGGGCAGGAAGACTGCCAAGTACGAAGCCAACCTGAGCTACAGGTCAAGATCTGTAGTGAGATAGTCCAATTGTAGCGAGATAGTCCGTCTGTGGCACGACCACGCCCATTGGGGGTGGAGCCATGGGCGGAGTGACCTGTGGAAGGAGGTCGGAAGGGAGCCAGGAAAGACTCTCTTTCTGGTGTGACTTGGACAGGAGAGGATCGGGTTGAATTTCCTGGTGTTCATCTGTCTAGGTTGTAAGTTATTTCTCCCTGAATAAACATCTATTCGGCCTATTTGTTTATCCTGATCCTTATTTAACCGCGTTAAAGATCCAATCACAAAACCAAACATAACCCAACCCAACACTCCTCCCTACCAAAATGAAGTACTTCTACACAAAAGTAACTGGAAATCCTTATGCTCAAGAAGATCAAAGCACCATTTGGGGCAATCATTCTTAATTTTGTTCAAGAAAGGAGTGCACAATGCCAGGTATGGTAGCTAACTTCTGCAGTCCCAACAAAGAACTTGGCTGGCTGATCCAGAATTGGTGTGAGTTGGTAAAAGAAATCCTTCTTTCTGCAACCCTTCAAAAAGGCCCAGTGAGATGGCTCAGAGGGTAAATGAACTGGCCACTAAGCCTAAAGAACTGAGTTTGGTTTTCAAAACCCACATAGTAGAAAAGAACTGTGGTGGTGGCACACACCTTTAATCTCAGCACTTGGGAAGCTGAGGCAGGCAAATCTCTGAGTTCAAAACCAGCCTTGTCTACAGAGCAGGTTGCAGGACAGCCAGAGCTGTTACACAGAGAAACCCATCTTGGGGGAGTGAGGGACCGGCTCCTGAAAATTGTCCTCTGACGGACACATGTACACTGTGGCAAACATGTATCACCAAACAATCCCACAGACATACATATATACATAAATAAAAGTATATCTTAAAAAATAATAATAAAAATAAGGGCCTGGTGATCTTGCAGTTCAAGAGTACTGGCTGCTCTTCCAAAAGACACAGGTTTAATTCCCTGCTCACAACCATCTGTAACTCCAGTCTCAGAGGATCCAATGCCCTCTTCTGGCCTCTGTGAGCATCATGCATGCATGTGATGCACTTACATGCATGCAGGCAAAACACCCAACACACAAAATAAATAATAATAATAAATTAACGATAACAGAACATTAAAAAAATATAAAGCATAGTTTGGTCCCTGACCTAAAGAAACCTTCAAAGGCTGGGGCAGTGGTGGTGCAGGCCTTTCACGCCAGAACTTGGGAGTCAGAGGCAGGCAGATCTCTGTGTGTTCAAGGCCAGCCTGATCTACACAGTGAGTTTCAGGACAGCCAAGACTGTTATATAGAGAAACCTTGTCTCAGAAAAAAAATATTTTTAAAAAAAAGGGAGGGGAGGGGGGAAGAAAAGAAACCTTCAAAGGTCCAAAGGTCTCAAGTAGTTAAGGAGCAAGATTGGGGAGTCCTGGGAAATGAGCTTAAAAGGCAGAAACAATGTCTTTTTGAGGCAGGGTCTCACTATGAACTCAATGTAATCCATCAGCTTCCAGTTCTTGAGTGCTGAGATTAAAGACATGGGCTATCATGCAAAGCCAAATATAATATGCTAGTAGCTAAGAAAATATGATAGCTGTCTAACTCTTCTGTTTTACTTTCTAACAGGGTGAGTTCTGAAACAGTATCAGACTCCATTTTTCCCAAGCCTGGAACATTTAGCTTATAATTAAAACAAAACCAACCAGTAACTTAGACAGTAACAAAGGTTTAGGACCACTTCTGAGCTAAAACTAAGGAAACACATCTCACAGCAAAATAAGGATTCCATTTCAAAGCTGTAAAGGCTTTATAATTTTTTTTTCAGAAATACATCCAGTTTAATGGTCACAAAATATAACCACAAGTCACTGTTTTGTTCTGAATTAATTATATTCTTCTGAATTTATTATATATAATGGTGCAAAATGTTTCTCACAGGCTGAGCTTTTTTTCTTTAGATGACAGCCACTTTATTGCAGGTCTTTATTTTTAACAGTAACAATTATTATCTGCCATATACAATAAAGGTTTTTAAAAAGCATTTAACATCTTATAATGAACACAAAGAAAATATAAAATAATAATAAAATTCAAATACAAAAACAAATCTAGTTTGCAAAGTTCAATTTTATACCCCGACACAGAGAACTTTATTTTAGAGTCAGTATGTCCTTATCCAATGTCCACTATCTACACTGGAGCCCCAAGGAGTATGGCTCTACCTGTAAAAGCCTTGTATGGCTGAAATAGCATTTGATCTTCTGATACCCACCCCCAGCCCTAAAGAAGGCATGAAGAGATCATGTTTAAATTTTAGTGAATGGTTATATGTTCAATATATTAAGAGCCCTAAATTCAAGAATGAAAGTTGGCAACAAGTAAAGCTACAGAATTTACAATAACGTGTGAGCCTAGAATTACCTACAGTGAAAGTATAATACCAAGAAGGCATTATCATGTTTATTAACAGGGCTTTCTTCTATATTACTCATAGCAAAGACAGTGAAAAAAAAAATGTTACAAATTACCTAAATGTACCATTACTATGTTCTATTCTAGATTAAATCCTGTTAACTGGAGAAAGTTACATGACAAAATCCAGCATATTACCAGCACCATGTTGAATCTAATAATAAGAAATAAGGCTATTTTCTAAAAAGATTTTATTTATTTTATGTATGAGTGTCCTATCTGCATGTAAACCTTTATGCCAGAAGAGGGCATCAGATCCTATCACAGGTGGCTATAAGCCACCATTGTGGTTGCTGGGAATTGAACTGAGGTCCTCTGGAAGAGGACCATCTCTCCCAAGTTCCAGCCACCAAGCTGTTTTTAAAATTAACTTGACCCTTCAACTTTATTTTGTTTTTTCAAGACAAGGTTTCTCTGTGTAACCGCTCTGGTTATCTTAAAACTTGCTCTGTAGACCAGGCTGGCCTGGAGCTCAAACATCAGCCTGCCTCTATCTCCCGAGTACTGCCTAGCTTTGACCCTTAATCTTTAAAAAATTACTAGCTATTTTTTCAAAGGTCAACAATTTAAATATACTTAACACTACTAAACTACACCCCTAAAACAGCCAAGCAGAGCCACTAGTGCAGTCAGAAGACAAAAGCCAGGGATAGTGAGACCTTGTTTCAAAAGAAAAACAAACAAAAAAGCAAGCTGTTCAAATAGAGAAGCCTGGATGCAGCTCTGCAGCAGAACATGGGCCCAGGATATACAAAGTCCTGGGGTGGATACTTAGAACACAAAGCAAAGAAGGGGAAAAGAGGAGAAAGATGTTATTATAGAAAAATTAGTCTTATAACCTATCACAATTAGACTATAAAATAGAGGATGGGTGTGGTGGCAAAAATAATATAATGCCTACATTTAACAAGCTGAGGCTGCAAGGTCACACAGGCCAGCATCAGCCTGGGCTAAAAGGAGGCCCTAAAAGGAGGCCCTATAAGGAGGCCCTAAAAGGAGGCCCTGATCCATCCTTACCCCCAACCTAAGAATAAGAAAGCAAACAAGTAAAAAATAAAAAAAGTTGTAATCTCAGAATTCTATAGGCACAAAACAGGGGAAGGAGGAAAAAAAAAAAAAAAAAAAAAAAAAAAAAAAATCAAAGCCAGTCTGGTCTACATATCAAGCTTCAGGACAGCCAGGGCTAAGTAATGAGGTCCTGTCTAAAAAATAAAATGGAACAAAACTAAACTGCAAATAAGCTAATTTTCCCTTGTGTTTTTGTTTGTTTTGTTTTGGGGGGGGTATGTTTGTTTTTGGAACCTATCCTGGAACTCACTTTGTAGACTCACAGAGACCTGCCTGCCTCTGTCTCCTGAGTGCTGGGATTAAAGGCATACGCCACCACACCCAGCATTTCCTTTATATTTTTAAATAAATGTACTTATCAGTTATTGAGGGTTCGTTATGTACATAGTACCATGGAGCTGGAGACACAACACCAATAAAACCTATTTCATTTTTCTCAAAGACCTCACTGGGTATGGTACTGTATACCTATATTCCCAATACCTGAGAATCTGAGGAAGGAAAGCCAGAGCAGTTTGAAGGTACCCTGAGCTACACAGTAATGTCTATCTCAACAAAACAAAATAAACAGAAAGCAAAATCCAGCCCCAAAGTCCTTCTTTTTCAAGAAAGTAAAACTTTAAAGAGGATCAAAATTCAATAAAGTTCTTTTTTAAAAAAACTAAGATCGAAGGGTGATAGTCGTGGTGGTAGTATACGCCTTCAATACCAGCACTACACAGAGAAACCTGTCTTAAAGGGGGAAAAAAAAAAGATTTAAAAATATAAAAATAAGAATTTTAAAAGCAAGGGCTGGGATGTATTACACTGATAGAATGTTTGCCCAGCATGCACAAAGCCTCCAGTTTAATCAGTACCAAACAAAACAATAGTTGTTTGTTAGTGTTTTGATTTAGCTTTTTGAGAATGAGTCTCACCTGGTAGCCTAGGCAGGCCTCAAATTCCTGCAGCGTTGGAATTATAAACGTGCATTACCACAGCTGCCTGGCAAAAGCAAGTTTTACTAAATGAAATCTTCTAGCACTCCCTGTTCTCTTGCTCATCTTAACACACTGATTAGACTTTAGCATTCATGTAAAGAGCAATATCCAAACTTCAAAAAATGTCTATTGGCACAACTATCTTCAAACCTCCCTTTATACAAGGCCCTTTATGGTTAGATGCCATTTCCCTCATTTCTGAGATAGCATTCACATCAAATCTGCAACCATCAATAGTTTCAAACCATAAAGAACTAAAATATAAATGCAGTTGGTTGTGTTCTACTAGGAAGAGTTCAGAAGCAGACACGTTAGTGTTTGGATTTTATCAAATGACTAGTATAGTTAAAAGGAAAAGCACAAGAGAAACTTTAAATCATGTATTTTCCAGAGCCTGATCTAAACCTGAGATACAGCCCCTGCTTGGACAGTTCTAAGAAATGTCTTCTTTTACATTCCATGCAGGTTAAGGTTCCTTTCTATCACTACATCCACTCTGATCACAAAGCAAGAGCCACAGGAAAGTCACCAGCTCTAGGGAGAGCTTAGAGGGACAAGTTAACCCTGGCCCTGAGAAATTCTTTACACTACAGTAGCCACACAAAAGATCACTGAAAGGCATGAAGAGAATACTATGAATAGCATATTTCCTCTTAGCACTATTATTGCCTCCACACAAAAAACTCAAACAGGTTGGCCCATCCATATTATGAAAGGCCCTGTATGTTTTAATGATACAGCAACTTATTCTCACCAAATTACTGGCAAATATGGAGGTTATACAGTGACTAAGATAAGGTTGTAGGAAAAACAGACTATTCTAGCAGGGGAGAAGATGGGAGACAGCCAAAATCTTGTTTAAAAGGATAACAAAATAAGATTTGCTTCATAAACATTGTTTTCATTCAATTTGGCAAATTTAAAACACTTACCCTGAAGAGATTTTCCCAATCCCTGGCCCAGCTTCCACCCATGTTTCTGGAGTAAGCGGTGTCCAATATTATCCTGACAGACAGAACAGAGAGACAAACCAAAAATATTCCAATAATATATTCTTCCCTTCCTAGTGACATTAAAATAGGTGATGACAAGAGATAAATCTACATATATGCATGCAAAAAAGGTGCTAATAAAAGGGTAAATGTGCCCAGTAAAAGGGACATTAATGTAAAAAGAAATGCTGGCTAGTATTTTATATGGGAAGAACATATGGGGAAAGGGTCCTTTCTGATAGTGTGCTGGGCAACTTCTATACATAACACTTTAAAACAAGAAAGGGGGGAAGGAAAAAGGGGGAGAATCCACTTATGAAGTTTTAAGCTAACATTAAAAAGCATAAAATCAAGGTATTTATACAATCATATCCACCACCTAGACAGCACCACTTTAAGATTTTTTTTTTTTTTTAAGAAAAGAAAAGAAAATCTGCATTGTGTTTAGTTGTTTTGTTTATGTGTCAGGCTTTCATGATATAAAGTAAGTTGTAAGTGTAAGGCTACCCCAGCACAAGAAATGGAGACAACCACCAAATCCAGGCTAGGCTTGATTGGCTTTAATATACATAACATATAAATATAACCAGCATGCAGCCAATATTAAACTGAAAACATTGAGGTTAGTAAAACAAGAAGTTAAATTGAGTAAACAAAAAATAAAATGAGCTCAAGCACAGACTGAGTGATGCATTTCAACGTGTAGTCTAACAAAAATGCTAAGATGTTAGAATGAAACAGGCCTAGCAATAAGTCAACAGTAAAGAACCATTAGTGCACGTGGGGGGGCCAACATACATAATGTCTCATCTGGAAACTATTTCAATGTAAATCATATGAAAGATACTAGAAACAACAATTAAATGTCAGCCACTGCATGAAGAGTCAAGAAATCAGAACTTCCAAAGCCCTCTGTTTAATTGTCTACTTTTTAAACCTATTGTGAAATAACAAGACCAAGCTATAGAACTACTGGACACCAGAAAAAAAAAAAATGCTACCAATCCAGGAAAAAAGCTAAAGGCTGGGCTGTAGCTAAGAGGAAGAGCAGCTGCCTAACACACAGCAGGCTGAGTCCAATCCCCAGCACTACACACACATTAAAATAAATTAAAAAAAAAATCTTCAATATATAGTTGATGAAATTTATATAAATAATCTAATACTGGCATCTGAAACTAATTAATAAAGCCCCATAAATTATCTACTTGCTTTTCTTTTTCTTTCTTTCTTTTTCTTCTGGTTTTTGGAGTCAGGGTTTCTCTATGGAGCTCTAGCTATCCTGGAACTCAAAGATCCACCTACCTCTGTCTCCCAAATGCTGGGATTAAAAGCATGTATCAGCACCACCCAGCTTGTTTTTATTTTTCTTTAAAGAACAATTTCCTTCCACAAGTTTAGGACATGCAGCTGAGTGGTGGCTATTTTACTGGTGTAAGTAAGAGACCAGACTTTGATTTCTCAGGCAGGATCTCATTATCTTAGGCTGGTCTTAAGACTTGCTATATACCCAAGGGTGACCTTAAACACTAGATCTCCCTGCCATTATTTTCCAGGGCTGCGATTACAGATATGTAGCACAATACCTGGTTTATAAGTGCTGCAAAGACTGAGCCTAAATCTTCATGCACATTAGGCAAACACTCTACCAACTGAATTGTTGGTAGCCCCCAAGACCCTTCTTTTGTGTTGTTGCTTTTTCTAGATAAGTTTCACTATGTAGCCTTATCAGGCTAGCCTAGAACTTGTGATATTCCTGCCTCAGCCTTCCAAGTGCATCACCATACCTGGAGTACTTAATTTTATGGGGTTCTATAGAGTTTCGAAAAAATAAAAGGTGAAGGCAAATAATAAAAAGCTATTTTTAAAACAAAAGGAATGATTGTGATATATGGTATACTCATGTACACACACACACACACACAAACACACACACATAGTATATTAAAAGGTCACGAGGAATTATTTTTGCTAAAAACTGAAAGAACCAGGAAACACAAGGCTGTGTGTAATTCCAAGTGATGATGCTCACACCCAATACTGAGTAAGCCTAACTACTTATAACTTACTGAAGGAAAAAAGGCCAATCGTACTGAATCACATCCATAATCCCACCAGAACTGGGAAGGTGGAGCAGAACAAATGTAGATCAGGAGTTCAAGGTCATCCTTGGCTACCTAACAAACTCGAAACCAACCTAGGCTACATGAAACAAAACAACAAACAAGGCCTAGGGATTTACTGCAGCTGTACAATACTTGCCTAGCAGTGTGAGGCCCAGGTTTGAGCCATATCACCTCAATTGTTTTTTTAATTAAAAAAAAAATATGAAAGCTGAGCACAGGAAAAAAAAAAAAAAGAAAAGAAAAGCTCTTATTTTCCTACTATCAAAAAATGTCTACTTATGAGTACCTCTAGAAATGACAAGGACAACAAACGACTATTAGAGCACGTGGATGAGCTTGATGTTGGTGGCGTACTCCTCATAATCTTAGCAACAAGGTTAAGGCAGGAGGATCACCCTGAGTTTAATAACAGTAAGGACTAAACAGTGAGATCTTATCTCAACAAACAAACAAAAAAGCTAAATAACTAACAACAGCAATTTATCACTGTTTATTCTCTTGCTATATTAATGCTGTAATTGTACTCGGCACAAAGATCTATGTACTAAATAATGCTGACAAAAATTGTTGTCCCTCCCCCATTTTTCTGTGATTTTTTTTATTCAATCTTTGGCCATGTGAGATGAGACATTATGCTGACAGTGTTATATTATGAATGCACTAAAATAAACAGACAGATGAAGCAGTATGCTATTTCCAAAAGCAGTGCAAGTGGAGTGAAAGCATTTCCATACGAACCTGGCTTTAAAAACTGGGCTGTCAAAAGAACAGTTAAATGTAACACAAAGTAAGAAACTGTCCGATCACTAATGGTCGCTTTATTTTTTTTTTTTTTTATTTTTATGTCTTGTTTTCAATTCACTGCTTGCAAGTAATGTACTTATTAAAGAAGACTGAAAGCATAAGTAAAATAACGAGTCAAGAGCAGCTGAGAGATTCAAGAGCAGCGTGTTGTGACTGACAACAGTGAAAGGAAAAGCAAATGTTAAAGGGAGAAAACAGAAAAGTTCAGGGTCATACACATTAGCACGCTTACAACACCACTCAAGAGGTTGGCTGTCACCTTTGGGGAATGCTACTGACATAGAATGATAGTGGTTATTACTCTTCTATAACCTATGTTAAATTGTTCTCCCACAGAAGTACTCAGTATGATCTACCAAAAAGGAAAAAAAAAAAAAAAAAAAAAAAAAGTGGCAACTGTGATCAAGAAACATCATATACCTGTAAGAAATTCTCAAAAAATAAGTTGGTTTTTTTTTTTAAATTGGTGTGTGTGTGTGTGTGTGTGTGTATACACTCGAGGCATGGGCAAGCATGTCCCGGAGGTCAGCTGTGAGCTTCCCTGAAGTGGGTACTGAGAATCAGCTTAGGTTCTCTGAAAGAACAATACTCACTCTTAACCACTGGGTCATTTCTCCAACCCACAGATGAAATTTAAAAAGAAAAGTAGAGAAACAAGGACAGGTGTGGTAGGCTGCACACACTTATTCTCAGCACTGGGGAGGCAGGAGCACCCAGATCTCTTCAATTCAAGTACAGCTTGGACTACAGGACATGTCCTGTTTCAATGACAGCCAAGGCTACATAAAGAGACCCTGTCTCGATAAATCAAAATAAAGTAATAAACAAAATGAAGAAATAAAACAAAACAACCTAGGGGACTTGAGAATGATGGATAATACAAGGAAAATATAGCAAAAACTTTTAAAATAAGACTTGTCTATCTCTGAAGTATAAAAATTTTCACCACCAATAAACAAGGGGCTCAATTACCATCCTGCAGAAAACAAGCCATATATTTTATTGAGGACTGTTATTCTGTGCTGTTCTCATGATAAGAGTCTCATGGATATAGCAATAAAATGACATAAAAACTTAAGCCTCCAGGGCTGGAGAGATGCCTCAGTGGTTAAGAACACTAGCTGGTCTTCCAGGGGTCCTAAGTTCAATCCCAGCAACCACGTGGTGGCTCACAACCATCTGTAATGAGAGCTGGTGCCCTCTTCTGATCTACAGGAATACAAGTGGACAGAACACTGCATAATAAATAAGCAAATAAACAAATAAACATTTTAAGAAAAATCAGCAACTCTTTAGTATTTTGTAGCTACAATAATTTCAAAAATATTTTGTTTTTTTAATTAATAAAAATAAAATGTAACACCGGGAGTGTTGGCACATGCCTTTGATCCCGGCACTCGGGAGGCAGAGGCAGGCAGAGCTCAGTGGTCTACAGAGCTAGCTCTAGGAGAATTAGAGATGTCACACAGAGAAACTCTGTCTCAAAAAAAAAACCAAAACAAACAAACAAAAAGGCCAGGAATAACAGCACACGTCTGCAAGTCCAGCATTTGAAAAAGAAAACCAACCTAGTATACTCAGTGAATTCCAGGGCTACAGTATGAATTAGACTTAAAAAGAATAAGAGAGCCAGAGGTTGTGGTGCACACCTTTAATCTCAGTGCTTAGGAAGCAGAGGCAGGTGGATCTCTGTGAGTTTGAGGCCAGTCTGGTCTATGGAGCTAGCTAATTTCAGGACAGCCAAGGATAATTAGCACAGAAAAACCCTGTCTTGAGGGGGAGAGGGAGAGAGAGAAAGTATGTGTGTGTCTGTGTGTGGGGGAGTGGGAGATGGGGGGTGCTTACAAAAAAAAAAAAAAAAAAAAAAAAGAGAGAAAGCCAAGCATGGTGCTCTCACTTCTTTAATCCCAGCATTCAGGAGACAGAGGCAGTGTTTCTCTGAGTTCCAGGACAGCCAGGGCTGTAAAATAGGGAGATTTGTGGCAAAAGAAACAAAGAAAAGACTGAGAGGTGTAATGTCATGTGTCTATAATCTCACTGAGATAGAAGGAAGATCAGAGATTTGAGATCATCTACTGGGTCTGAAGCCAGTATACGCTATAAGAAACTGTCTCAATAAACAACAAAAATAGCCACTTGTGGTAGTTCACACCCTAAATCCCAGAACTTGGGAGGTTAAAGCAGTATTGCTCTGAGTTCAAAGCCACCTTGAGCTACATACTGGCATGGTCAACAGGGAGACTGCCCCACCCCACCCCCAAAAAAAGAGACAAAGAAAAGGAAGATATAATTTGAGTTTTAAATTATTTTACAAAAACAAAATTTAATCTTTTTTAAAGTCTTTTAAAATAATGCAATTTATGACAGGCGGTAATGATGCACACACACCTTTAATATCAGTACTCGGGAGGCAGAGGCAAAGGCAAATGGACCTCTGTAAGTTCCAGGACAGCCTGGTCTACAGAGTGAGTTCCAGGACAGGGTCCAAAGTTACAGAGAAACCTTGTCTCAAAAAACCAAAAGAAAAAAAAAGCCATCTACAATTAATAAACATGTGTGGTGATAAACAGGCTAGGTAGGCTATTAAAGGACTGGGGTTCAATTCCCAGCACCCACATGGCAGCTCACAACTGTCTGTAACGCCAAGATCTGACTGACACCTTCACATAGACACACATACAGGAAAAAACATCAATACACATAAAATAAAAATAAATTTTAAAAAAGGATTACAAGGAATTTCTATTTTAAGCTAAGAAATATGGCAAATGAATTTTTCTTAAGGAGCATACACATAAGCGATTCTCTACCTGATTCAGAGTTTCCAGAATTTAGATTCAAAATGGCAGCTATATATTCTTCAGCTGAAATTGAAATCCTACTGTGTTCAAATGAAGCTGAGCTGAAAACCCATTTTCCCCCTGGGGTCAGAATTACATCAACTGACTTGTTCTGGTTTTCTATTTCTAAAATTAAAACATAAATTATGTGTTGCCACTGAGCATGGTAGTGCACACCTTTAATCCCAGCACTCCGAAGGCAGAGGCAGATGGATCTCTGTGAGTTCAAGGCCAGTCTGGTCTACAGAGTGAGTTTCAGGACAGGCTCCAAAGAAATACAGAGAAACCCTGTCTTGAAAAACAAAACAAAACAAAACACAACAACAACAAAAAACTCTACACAAATAAATAAAATTCTGTATTGCCAACGTGTTCCTGTCTATTATGTGAAAGTTTTCAAATGGGAAAGGTCTTCAAAAACGAGAAGTGCTTTATAAGTAACCACCAATATGCTTAAAATGTAATACCAACATTAAAAAAGCAAGCAAACAAAACCCTCATTAACTATTTTAGATGGTCCTCAACATTTTTATCTACTGATTAAACATGAAGTAGAAAACCTTCCCAGGAAATGCTCCTGCTCCATGTAACTATATACCACCACAGTAAGAAGGACCATTGGCAACAGCACCATCATGTATGATGGGAGCCTGCTAAAACACAGATAAAAAATTATTTTACAAGTTTTGATACTAGGAAACAGAATCTCGTATCAAGAGAAAACTACACTTCTGATATATCAGTAACTAGATGAGAATTAATTAATTCCACACTGGATTTTCTTTTAGTTGACAACCACATTCAATTTATAAAATTTAGCCCATTTTCAGCAGGACAAAAATGGTCTCTTGAGTGGGTTGTAAGCTTTGCTGATTGTGTATTAGAGACTCTATAAGCAAGAATCAATGCTATCAGGTGAACCCATGCAAAGAACAAATTTATATAAATTCCCCAAACAAAAAAAAAAAAAAATTATAGCTCACTACAGATGACAAATGAAGACTAGAGAGAAAAGCCATATAGTAATGCTACACCATTCAGCTCCAAGAAGCATATTGTTTATTGTGCAGACCACATAAAGTCACTGCTAAGAGTCAAATTAGCAGTCTCACAGAGTTACATTTTGGAATTAGTGGAGTCCACAGATCTAAACAGATACGCAACATAACAAACTCCAGTTATATAGGCACTACTAAATTCTTAGATAATTAAACTACTACATTGCAACTAGAGTTTGAAAACTTAACACTAATTTTTAAAGCCCACTCAACCTGACAACTCCTAAAGTCAGGATTTTAATCAGTCAGGTAGAATGAAAAACAACTACTGGATGGACAGCTGTACTTAGTACAACTAGACAGCATTTTTTCAAATCTATGATGGAGGCATTTTGATTTATCATCTTCAAACTAAGATAAAGTTCATAAAAGATCATATATCCTAAACAGTGCATCTAAGATTGGGCTATAACTTTAGATTACATTTAGTTTCCAAATATTTTAAATGTGTGACAGTCATAATTGTGGCTTGGACTTCAAAATCTTATAAACTAACAACTTTTAAAGTTCAAACTAAAAAAGTTGTTTGTGGTAAGGAAAAAAATGTTGTATTTTGTTCTTTCCAAAATTCAGACAACCAAATTACGTGCCAATTCTAATTTAATTTTCTTAGAAAATGTTTTACTCTTGACAAGGACATTTTATTGAAATACAGAAAAATAAAACTTTATAGTAAATATTATCAAATGCTTCATGAATCTTAGATTTGTTTTTAATATTGCCTACTAAAACTGATTATATCATTCTCTAACAAATCCAGATTTCAGAAGTTTGCTTAATGTATAATTTATTAGCATCTTTGAATCTCATTTTGTTTTTTGCTGGTTTGTATCAAATGTGCTCTATTATAAAACAAATAGCCTTAATTCCATACACATAAATGCCCTTCAAACAGGCATATTCTTGACACAAACCTGTGCAGATCTCCACAGTTATCAGCTGCTGCAGATTACCTTTCTTACTTATTTAAATGACTACAATTTTAGCTCCTGCAACGATCTGTAGACTCCCAAAGCTGTGTATTCCCAGCCACTTTTGAGTTGCATGCTGTAGCAAAACAGTCAGCACCTCTCAAGATATTGCTGCAGAGAAAGATTTTATTCAGCAGAGGCTTTCTGTGTTAGAAGCAATATTTTCCCCCTTAAAACAAAACAGCGAGATAGCCAGCCAGCCCTGTGAGTAATGGTAATTCTGGTGGGCATTCAGACGATCGGGGACTTTCCCCTTTGGATGAGAAGGAACACTGCCTACTTTGATATCAATCATGTAGGAGTTCCTTTGAAACTTCAAGTTTTATTTCCAAATGACAAGGTAGCAGAAAAGAATCTCTTTGTTTTCTGGGTCCCACTTTTCTTTGAGTCCTACTTCTATTTAACACAATGCAACCTACAAAAGTCTACCAATTCACAATTAATGTGTTATGTTTATGGCTTCCATGAATAATTTTTCATTAGAAGTATAACTTAATGTAATCTCTGACTACACATCTATTTTAAAAAAATACAGATGTGGTCTGAGCACAACATCATTTATTATTTTAAATGGAGAAGGTTAACATTATCAAATAAACAAGACTTAAACCAATTCTACTCTTACTCACTGAGATTACTGGACAATGATTACACAAGCAGACTGTCTTATCACAGTGCTTTGCTTATGAATACGACATGTCCAAGAAAAAAATCCTGGGCACTGTGAGGAAACAGTATCATTAGTCTCATGTCACAGGAATGGATTAAAAGAAATTGTAATGTAGACCTACACAGGATTTAAAAGTGCTAAATGTCAATGCTTTAAAAACAATATTGAGTACAGTGACAGTGAACCACGCTACAGATTCTGGCTAAACTTCCTGATACAAGTCAAAGTACTCAACAGAAATAGCTTATCCATCCATATGCCTCACAAAATACAGTACTGAGGAGTTGTTACTAGTGATTTGTTCTTAAAACTCTTGACACAAGGAAATATTTTTCAATTAAGATGGAAAACCAAATTATTTTCAAATACAAATCGTATTATCTTGCCTATGGATTTCATTATAAAATTCTGCCTGATAATAATCTCTGCTACAGAACAAGGCACACACCTTGGGGAGTTTTAACTTAGCAAAATGGGCGTGGCATTTAATCTTATGTTAAAATATAGGACTGAACTTTCAGCACATTATCAGATATGAACTCTCCCTCTGCAGCATTATCACATGCGTCATCATTTACTGCCATGCCTAGTCTAGCATCATGCCAGCACATTAAGACAGAAAGTACTATATGCAGTGTTCACTGGACCAGAAAGACAGAAATAAGAAGGGGAGGTGGGGGAGAAAGAAACCCTAGAGAAGAAATTAAAAAAAAAAGGCAGACCGTGCAATACAAACCAGATCATGGCTGCTTAGCTAATATGGGCCAACTGCTGTGGAAGAAAAATGTCGAACACCCCAAGTTGTGTAAATTTCTGTAAACATCTAAACACACACACAAACACACACAACACCAACCTAATTAAGAACGTAAATATATGTTGATCCTTTACTATGTTATAGTTTTGAGAACAAAAGCTAAATTATCTACACTTTCCAAACTGCCTTGTTATCTCACAGAAGGATAGGAAGCTAGTGTTTCTAACAGGGAGAGGGGAACCTGTCTTGATTGATTACAAAATTAGGATTTGCTTTTTGACCTTTTATCCATTCAAGCTTTATCAATGCTTCAATGAAATCCCTGTAAGGATGTACATGTAAGTATAGATTTTAAATAATGACAAGAACAAGTTTAGACACTTTAGCAATGGATAGTTATTTTAGAATAATGTTTTCTTTTTTAAATGCTTAAAACTTAAGACTTTTTAAAATTAAGAGGCAGAAAATAAATCTCCTTGTTCTATGACTTGGTATCATTGATGTCATAGATTAAGAAGTATACATAAAAAGGCAAAAATAACTAACTTTTGACCTGGAAACAAAACAAAACAAAAAACCACGAGACACTTCTTAAACTACAGAGTCCAAGCTTACCATGTCTTAAAAGGGTCTAATACTTTGCTACTTCTTAACTATTTCTACTGGAACATTTCACATGACTATACTGCCCAGAAAATGTATTAAAGGATCAAAATACATTTTACTCCTTTATTCAATTTACAGTAACACTACATCCATCTTTCTATCTTTATCAAAGCTTAATATGGGCCAAAATAACATTTTTCCCCACTAAATCCTAAAGTTTTCCCTCTGTGTTCTACACTGATTTCCCAACATTATTAAATCACATCCAAAACTCCACCTAATTACTGTGGGGCATGCAGGAAAGTGGCTCTAACTTGTACTATTAGTCCAGTGTAAAAGTTTACCTTCACTCACGTCAAGTGACACACGAGCTCTACCTAACTAACTAGCTAAGATCCAAAGTAAGCATGGGTCATCTTACCGATTCTATGGGCTTGTCAAGGGATGCTTGTTCAATCTCCAAGTGTCCTTCTTCATACTGATCAAAGTGATTACCCTGGGGGAAAAAAACCCTGCAGTTATTTTTCAAAAGTATTAAAGCAACTGATCAGCTAGCCAACTACAGTTACTTTTAATATTCTTTTCAGTAGAAAACCAAAACTGTATCACAAATTAAGACTCTTAAAAAAAAAATTTAAGACCCAGTGAGATAGCTCTGAACTGTGAAAGCATGTGCCACCAAACCTGACCACCTGTGTTTGATCCCTGGCACCCACATGGTGGAAGAGAACCTACTTCATCCAAGCTGTCCTCGGACAGGCACACATGTGCCATGGCACACACAAACCCCACATACTGCCAAGTAAATAAATACTTTTTTTTTTTTAACTGCCACCAGATGATGCAGCTCAGTAGTAGAGCTCTTAATCAGCACATACGAGGTCCTAGGTTCAATCATGGGGGATAGGAGGCATGCACTCACCCATAAAACCAGTTCAGCATAGGAAAGATGGCTCAAGAAGGTCTTGCTGCCCACATATGCAAGCCTGAAAACCTGAGTTTGATCCCCAGAACCCATGTAGAGATGGAAAAAAAAGGACTCCATAAAGTCATCTGATGACCTCCACATGAAAGCTATATCATGTGAGCCTACACATGCAAATACAGAGTCTTTACTAGAATCTAGAAGTATAATGTGTTGCAGGATATTTGATCACACTGTGAAATTCCAATAACTGTATGAATAAAATTAACCTCGGATCAGGGGGCAGAGCTGGTGACTAATTGACAAGAATTAGCCATAGAGGGTACAGAGGACTCAAGAAAGATAGACTAACAGAAAAGAGTAGAGAGGGACTTAGAGATTCTTGGACTTTTTTTGGTTTCGGATGGAGATATTTTCTTGCTGGATCTCTGGCCAAAAAGGAAGGTCAGCAGGTTGCTTGCCATGTTCTCTGACCTAGCAGGTTGTTACTGATTCCCGAGTCTTTATTGGTAAACTGAACAACTTAGATTAAAAACACCAATAATTCTCTGATAAAACAAGTTGCATAGCAGGCCTGGCACACCTTTGATTCTAGTACTTAGGAGGCAGAAGCAGACAGATCTCAGAGTTCAAGGCCAGAGTGAATTTCAGGACAGCAGAGGCACACAGACAAATCCTGTCTCAAGCAACAAGGGGGGGGGGGAGGGGAGGGAGTTGCCTAGCATACACAAGACCGTAAGTTCAACCATCAGCAAAGGAAAAGAACAAAAAGAAGGAAGAAACAGTGAAAAGAAGGCAAGCAAAACAAAATGAAAAGACCTTAAGGGTCTATGTTTGGAGCTGGAGAGACGGCACAGTGGTTAGGAGTACTCACTACTCTTCCAAGAAAGACCCAAGTTTGATTCCCTTTGCTGACATATTGGCTCAAAACCATCTCCAATTCCAATCCCAGGGGATCCAAAGGGACCAACATCCATGTGGTACACAACACAGATACACATGCAGACAACACATCCATAAATATTTAAAAAAAAAAAAAAAAAAAGCCAGGTGGTGGAGGCAAATGCTTTTGATCACAGCACTCCGGAGGCAGAGACAGGCGGATCTCTGTGAAGTCGAGACAAGCCTAGTCTACAAAAGCTAGTACCAGGACAGTTTCCAAAGCCACAGAGATACCTTGTCTCGAACCCCCCCCCCCAAAAAAAAAGTCTATGACTTGAGAGCCTGGAAAGACAGCTCAGCAGTTAAGAGTGCTGGCTGCTCTTACACAGGATCTGGGTTCAGGTCACAGCATCCAGAGTGCAGTTCACAAGTGTCTATAACCCAGTTCCAGCATCCTGTTCTGGCCTCAGGCACTAGATATGCACACAGTACACATTCATACATGCAGGCAAAACATTCAAACAAATTTATTAAATATGTAATTGGGTATAAAAAAAAAAGTGTGTCAGGGAGCTGGAGATGCTGCTCAGAGGTAAAGTATTTGCCCAGAATGGAAGAGACCCTATATTCAATCACAAGCCCTGGGAAATTAAAAAAAAAAAAAAAAAGAAAGACTAAATTCTGAACACTTTTTCCCCTAACAAATGTCTAAATTGTTAACTAAAAACATTATCAACCACTTCTAACACCCATGCATCAGGAAGACAATGAGCTGTATGCGCTCTTTTATTTTCATAAACAGCATTTCTTTTTAAGTATTTTCATTATATTTATTTATTTATATGTGTGGGAGGCAGAGGCAGGTGGGATCTCTTGGGTTCAAGGTCAGACTGGTCCACAAAGTGAGTTTCAAGGCAGCCAGAAGTACACAAAAAAACCCTGCCAAGGGGTGGGAGTGGGCACCAAACTAAACAACAACAAAAATTATTATTATTATATTTTTTAATTATGTGTGAGTATAGGTACCCAAAGGAGGCACTGGAGCTCCTTGCAGTTGTGACCTGCCTGATATGGGTGCTGGAAACTGAACTAGGGTCTTCTTCAAGAGCAGAAGATGCTCTTAACCACTGAGCCATTCATTTCTCCAGACACATTTCATTTTACTTTATGTTCTAGAAAGTAAGTCATAGGTATGGGGAAGCACATCCACAATTCCAGGGCAGAGACAAAGGCAGAAGAATTAATAGTTCTACCCCATCATCCTGGGCAGGGAGACACTGCAACCCTATGCAAAACAAAACAAAAATGTCACAATAGAGGGACACACAGAAAAATTGTATCATACTGTCTGAGTTGCCAGCATTGTTTTTTGTAGATGATTTGATCTGCTGAGAGATAAATGTGCCTGTACACTGTTATATATAAGCATAATCAAGCAAATTGCCATTATAACAAGACAAAACAATTCTGATTTCGAGGATGTTATCTCTAATTGCAGTTTTTTTTTTCTCCCAGACCTACCTGTTTCATTAGGAAAGAATAATTCAAAATATAGCATTAAATCAAATATTAATTTTTTGTTTATGCTGGGGAAATTTCTTTAACTGTGTCAAAGTGGGCTGCATTTGTTTTGGGGTTTTTGTTGTTGTTTTGGTTTTCTGAGACAGGGTTTCTCTGTAGCTATGGAGCCAGTCCTAGAACTTGCTCTCTAGACAGGCTGGCCTTGAATGATGTGGGATAATGCTCTTGTTCACTGTAAAGATTTGTCACTCATATTGGTTTAATAAAGCACTGACTGGCCAGTAGCCGGGCAGGAAGTATAGGTGGGGTGACCAGATGAGAATTCTAGAAGAGGAAAGGCAGACACCAGCCAGACACAGAGGAAACAAAATGAGAATGCCTTACTGACAAATAGTGTCAAGCCACGTAGCTAAACATAGGTAAGAATTATGGGTTAATTTAAGTTGTAGGAGTTTGTTGGTAATGTGCCTGAGCAATAGGCCAAACAATTTAGAATTTATGTAAACCTCTGTGTTTATTTGGGACTAAAGGGCTTTGGGGCCAGATAGGACAGAAATCTCCATCTACATTTGAACTCAGAGATCCACCTACCTCTGCCCTGAGTACTGGGTTAGAGTTAAAGTACTGGGTTAGGGTTAAAGGCATGCACCACCACCACCACCACCACCACCACCACCAAGTGCTATATTTGTTTATGCTGCATGTGTTTAATTTTGAAAAGATGTGTTGTTGTTTCATCTTGTCTGCCTAAGGCACCTGACTGGTCTAATAAAAACCTGAACAGTCAATAGTTAGGCAGAAGAGGGATAGGTGGGTTGGCAGGCAGAAAGAATAAATAGAAGGAAAAAAATCTAGGCTCAAGAGAGATTAAAAGGAAAGAACAAGGGAGCAAGAGAGGGAGACACCCAGGGCCAGACAGGCAGCAGCTAGCCTGCAGACACAGAGTAGGACACACAGAAAGGTGAAAAGTCCCAAGGCAAAAGTTACCAGGTTAAAAGAGCCAGATGGAGCCTAAATTAGGCCAAGCATTCAAAACTAATAATAGCCAGGTGGTGGCGGCACATGCCTTTAGTCCCAGCACTCTGGAGGCAGAGGCAGGAGGTTCTCTGTGAGTTTGAGGCCAGCCTGGTCTACAGAGCTAGAGCTAGTTCCAGAACAGGCTCAGAAGCAATAGAAAAAAAACAAAAAACAAAAAACAAAACAAAAAAAAAAAAAAAGAAATCAAAACTAATAAGAAGTCTCCGTGTCATGATTTGGGAGCTGGTTGGTGGCCCAAAAGAAAAAGCCTGGTACAGTAGATTCTGGAGCATCAAATGCAAGTCATCAGGCTTCCTTTCCAGCAAGTGCACAAACTGCATTGCTGGCCCAGGCTTACGTTTCTGATGAATGATCACATCAATTATTAACAAGGCTGTAAACATCTGACTTTTTTTTCCATCCACATGAGGTGTGAGCCAAGTTTAAATTGATTTTAATTTTGACATGCCTCTTAGTCTACCTTTAACTTGACTCTGGCTAGTAAGTATATTACACAGATGCCACTGTCTTTCCCTGCTCTTACGAGCTAAAATTGCCTTTTTGGTTTTTTTTTTTTCCCCAGATAGGTTTCTCTGTGTTACAGCCCTATCTGTCCTGGAACTTGCTTTGTAGACCAAGCTGGCCTCAAACTCAGAGATCCGCCTGCCTCTACCTCCCTAGTACTGGGATCAAGGGCGTGTGCCACCATTCCTGGCACATGTTTGCTTCTTGAGACAGGATCTCAGGTAGCTCACACAGTCCTTGGACTCACTATAAGGAACTGAGGATGATACTGAACTTCTGATCTTCTTGTATCCATATCCCAAGAGCTGAGGTCACTGAGATACACTGCCACACCCAGCTTTATCTTTTCTACTCCATTTGTCAACACTCCTTGGAGACTGACTAATGTCTCTGAGCAAACTTAGTACTGTGGCACTACCTCACAATTCAAATAACATACTTACCTGTAATTAGGATTTTTTTTAATTACTATTACATTTGTATGAGTGTGTGTGCACATTTGTGTTATGCCACACATACAGAGGTCAGAGGACAACTTATAAGAGTCAGTTCTCTTCTCCTACTACTATGAGGGTCCTATAGATTGAACTGAGGTTTTTGGTGGCAAGCACTTTTAGCCACTGAGC